AGATTTCAGCGCTCCTCCAACTTCCGTCAAACTCATCGCATCTTTTTTAGGAGCGACGGGAACAGACCCGATGTGTAATGGATAGACATGGATACATGGATAGACATAGAAAGTGCACTGTTAAGTGACATCGATAAGTTAGTGGCATGACACGGATGGTATCACAGCTCAAGTGAAATGGAGAGATTCTGCTAACTTTAATTACTCATTTATAAGTGAAATATCAGTTCCGATGTTCAGAGTTCAATGACATTAGCACAGTGACAGGCTGTGCTGTGCTATAGAGGATTGGTGGAACGGAAGCCAGATTGCTGGAGCTCTATCCTGGGTGTGTGTCAAACTGTACAGTGCACCACAGTGCTCTGCCACGGTTGGCGGTTGAACTGCTACCAGGCTGTGAAATGATGGCATCCTTTTATCAAATGACGGCATCCTTTTGTCAAATGACGGCATCCTTTTGTCAAATGACGGCATCCGTCTGATAAGATGGCCGTGTCATTGCTGGGGTAAGAGGTCAGATCAGGCCTGGAGGTCAAGCAGACTTGAACAGTCCACCCGAAAGATGTGGACCGTCCGCTGCATCTGCCAGACAAAATGACGTCAGCGACTTGGGAAACCTACCGTGTTATGTGTGTCATTGGGGCTTTACGACGCACTCAGCTAGTGAGGCTACATGACGTCACCTGCCTCTCGCCCTGGCAGGAAGGGCGGGCACCGCGAGGAATCGAACTCCGTGCCTCTGGTTTCCCAGACGCGCAGTGGTTAACGCAGACGCGGTAACCACCACATTACCGACACCCCTGGGAAACCTACTAATTCTTGGTAATTTCCTCCCATTCTGGCATAATGTGTGGCTCAAAATGGCCTAACCCGACCAAAACACATCACACAGCCAGCTCCAGCCTATTGTTGGGGGCCCCAACTAGTGCGTGAACACACGTTAGCTCATGCATTTCCCCGGGGCATGCAAGTAAGCAATCCTGTCACCATGCGCTCGGATGGGGGTGAATTTGACGTCCCCGAAGGTTTTTCAGGAATGGCTTCGGAGCGGCGCCGTGTAGCCGCATCAAACTTTGCATAGCTATAGAAAATTGAATAGCGGGTCGTATGGTATAACAAATTCAGATTTACTCTGTAAAGTCATTGACCTACAGCAGGTCAAAGCCAGGCCATGAATTCAGCTAAGTCAATGTCTATGGAATCGCTCAATCTGATGAAACAACAGAGCGTTAGTCGAAGCCATATATCTCTTAGATGCTTTCCTAGGCAACACAACGATTGAATGAGCAAATTACACTGACCTAGGATCAGGCATGAAAGTCAGACGAAGGTTGAAACCAACCTGTTTTAATTACTCTAAGGCTTGCTGAATGGGATAGTTTATGGTGTTCATTTCGAATTTATTGACAAGAGGAACCGCATTAGATATCTTCAATGGACTTTTGTAAGGACTTAACAGGTCACTGACCCAAACTGACTAAGGTCAAAATTTTGTAGTTTTTTAGGAACATACTGTCCATCATAATCTTTATCGCTTACTCAAGTGCAAAGCTCAAAGCAGTCTCGTATGATTTTGGTTACCATGATCTTTGAAAGGTCAAATAATGCCACTGACCTTAAATGAGCAACAGTAGCCTCTTGCTTGAAACAGGTATATAGGTTCCGGGGGCTTTTTGGAGACCAGTCTGGAGTTTGACGCTGTTTGACTCAACTTGGCTCAAAGGTTGCTCAACTCAGCTCAACCTGGAAACCTCAACCTTTGACCAAAGTGAGTTCACATGCAGGCCAGTACAACCTGGAAATTTGGTGTCGCTAGCTCTCATAGTTACTGAGATCTCAGTGGGGTCAAACTGAACCTCATCCGAGCGAAGGGTATCCGACCGGCCACCCGGGTGTATGTTAACTGACCTACGGTGACCTATGAACTAGCTCATCCGTTAAGCTGCGTCTTGGACCTGTATGCGAAGTCCCGTGCGCGCGCGCCCGCCCGCCCGCCGGCACGCACGCACACACGCACACACACGCACACACGTACAAACGCACATACACACACACACACACGCGCGCACATGCACGCACGCACGCACGTGCGTGCGTGCGTGCGTGCGCGTCTTCCTTTGGCAATAGTGAGCCCATGCTGGGTGCGGCACAGCGTCAAATGGACAGACGATGACTTGAAGTACTAAATCCCTTATGATAGTGCCTCCGGATCTTCAATGGCAATGGGCACAGGTTTTTACTTGCGCGAAATGTCATTCTGAAATGCACTTAAACACTGAATTAACGACACTGCGAAGTACCACTTTTCCCTGTGATGACCTAGAATGACGTCATGGTGACCTGAATTGACCTCTATGACGTCAGGTTGCATGTTTCAATCCATTCCCACAAGAGAATCATCCATGCAGCAATGATATGCCAGCAAGTACGCATCGATTCATTGGAGTTGATAATATGCATCGATGCTTTGATAATGTCAAATATGCAAGCAATACTAACGCGACGAGTAGACTAATATATCAGCACTTGCTACATGATTTGTCACGTCATTCTGGTAAGGCCTAGCAGTAATTGGTCGACCCAGCTTTGTCATTAGATAGCTCTGAAACTCATTTCGGGTCGCCCAAAATTTCAGATCACATATGTGATTTTCTTAGAAGCAATGCCAGAACACCGGAGGGACAGAACGAAACACCAGAGGGGTGGAACAAAACACTAGACGGGCGGAACAGTACACCAAAGAAGCGGAACGAAACACCAGAGGGGTGGAACAAAACACTAGACGGGCGGAACAGTACACCAAAGAAGCGGAACGAAACACCAGAGGGGTGGAACAAGACACTAGACGGGCGGGACAGCACACAAAAGGAGCGGAACGAAACACCAGAGCGGCGGGACAAAACACCAGAGCGGCGGGACAAAATGCCAGAGCGGCGGGACAAAACACCAGAGCGGCGGGACAAAATGCCAGAGCGGCGGGACAAAACACCCCAGAAGCCTGGCTGGTAATGGCCTGGTGCTTCAGACGATTTTGTGTAGCGGATGCCCACGAGCAATTTTCGAGCGTCTTATTTTGGTTGCGGTCATACGCCTGCTCTCATCCACCCAATGGGCCATATTCTTGTCATCCTCTGTGTGCGAGAAAGGCCGTTATGTGGTCAGGCCGATGGAGATTTGCGATGCAGTTGTGGCCGATGATGCTGATTCGGCCGGCTCTGTCGGTGCAGGCGGTGGGGTGGTGTCAGCCAGTAGCCTTAGTGATCACAAAAATAATGTGGATTGATCAGCTACATTGCCTGACAGAGCATCACGTGGCTGGCATCCATCGACAGCGCCCTCCTCTGTCAACATGTGTTGACAGACCGAAAACGAATCTCGCAAATCTGTCTGATACAGATGTCAGAGCGCAATGAATGATGCCAAACTTTGCAGTAGACTTTCGCGAATATTTCGGGGAAGTTTATCTCAGTGCAATACGGGATGAGCACGTTCGATGGCAGCAGTGATGTATTGTTTGATGTTCTTTTCCAGTTATTAAGAAACTATTCCTGGTGGGAGACTAGAGGGCTTGGTAAAGCCATGGGGAGCCCAGTGGAATGGGTAACGGGTAATGTTGGTTACAGGTCTAAATAAAGTTGCTCGTATGTGTGCAGGTTTAAGTGATACCTTATGATCAAAAAAAAAAAGAGGAAGCATGTGTGTAAACTTCCAGAAACTTTTCTTTAGCTTAGAAATAGAGTATAGTAAAACAAATAAGCGAGTGGCTACCCCTGATTGGCAACGGGTAGCGAGTGGGCATAGGCACGGCCCCGTGGTAGTGAGCGAATTCGATGGAGGTATAATCCGTGGATATCTCTTTGGAGCCCACAATGCATGAAGCCGCAACATTAAGCTTGTATGGCCTTCAGTTGCGGGCTCCGCGTATTCTGTTGGCGTCCTGTCCTTTTAGAAGTCATGACATT